TCAGACTTCGATAATGAAATAGCAAAGAGAGGGAGAAACTGTGAGGAAAGTTGGTGTTCCTTCTGTTTGCTTTCAGGCTGAAAATATGTGTGCCATAGCTTGACTAAATTACCCTATGAGTAAGAGTGTGTGTATCCATGTATGTGACTGACTTTATGATCGTCTTTTGCAGTTACCTTCATGGCATAAACACCAACAGAAGGAGAGATTTGATGGTTGCCTGGAGAATGATAATTTCTAATCATGAGAGGGAAATGAGCCAACATTTTTTGAGAGGGAAAATCCAGTGAAATTTATTATGATGTTCAACTGTTTCCCTGGGGAAGGAATATCAGTGCCATCACTCTCACACTATTAAATACCAAGCAGCATATATTATTTAATTATATGGTGAAAAAGGAATTAGTAAGATGACCCGATATATTTTTGCTGCTTTCACCCTCCAGGATTCAGTTGTGCTAAACAGAAGGAAGTGGATCCTGTGAGAATAAACAGCTGTAAGAGCATTTTTATGGTGTTCACATTGTATGAAAAATGAGATTGGTAGAAAACAGTGCCACAAAAGGTATTTTACTGCTAGAATTCTAGCTAGCTTTAGTTGGTATGGTTATATGCAATTAAATCCCAAGTCAGTGGAATTATTTGGGAATTTTTTAAGAAGCATGAGTAAAAAAAGCATTTGTCCTGGGACCCAAGGTTTGAAGTATAAATTTTAGCATCAACAGTACTGCTACTCAGTAGAATGACAGAGATAAAAAAAAAAACAACAAAACAAAACCACAAACAACAAAGAAGAAAGCACAAGAATTGAGGAGCTCTGGAAAAGAGAAAAATAAAATCTGACTTCAACTGTTAGTGCTATTTGGTATGGAATGCCACCTTGTGGGAATTTTTAGCATGTCATGTCTTTTATCAAATCTCTTCCAAGTCTTCCTGAATATTTACTTTCTCCAGTCACTGTAAATAATCCTGTTTGCATAGATCAGCCTTGGTCTTTAATAGCCCCTCCATCACCTGATTTTTTAGTAATCTGAATTTTCAGTGTAATTTAGGGATGGAGAAAACTTACTCCGGGAGGTACAAAGTTTGCAAAAGGGAGAACTTTTCTTAGCTTTTCCTAAGGGCCTGGGAATCAGCCATGGTGAGAGCATGATCAGTGCAGATGCTGTGGTTTAATTGTAGTACTGCACTAATGTGTGTGGTCAGCAGGCACTGAAGGGAACAGTGATCACATTGTGCACTTCTGCATGTTAACCCAATCGCTACAGCAGTTGGAAAGGAGTCATTCCATGGTTGCCTTCATTAGGAGACATTAGAACTGCAGGAAGAAAGAGCACGTGTGAACATGTCTGCTGCCTCAGCTGACATACCACGTTATCTCGCATCCTCAATGACTCTTCTCCCAAGGTGTTCCTATGTCAGGCGTTCAAGTTGTATCTCCATAGTGGTCTGCATAGTGACAGCACAGATAGAAGACCTTTGTTGCAAACATTTCACATCAAGTGTCAAATGCTTCTTCCCTGCTAGGGGCATTGTGGTAAAGTGAAGGTGCAGTAAGTGACCAATCTTCTGCCAAAAAGTGAAGTGTTTTGCTTCTGACTTTGCCAAAACACTAGGGTGGCTACCGCAAGCAAGTGAAGAAATTCTCTCTCCTGTACGGAAGTGTATATAGAGGGTGTCCTGAACTGAAACCCTGCCAAAGGGACAGAGGCCATCTGTCCATCTTTCTGCTCTCTAACTTTGGTTCTCCGTCTGCTCTTGGTCCTTTCCTGTCTTCCCCATGGAGCACCAGTGGGCCTGTCACTTACCTGATTTCCTACACTTGAAGTAGCTCTCCCTTCCCTTGTCTAAGCAATTAGCTGCTTCTAACTATGTCTAAAAATAAACTTGAGCCTTCTGGAGTAATTTCCTAGCCACCTTTCTCTTCTAGACCCAATCTCTGCTAAGGATTGTGCTGGGTTTTTTAAAATGGTAAAGAGATGCTGGTAAGGGCTTCTTTCTTCTACCCCTTTTGCTACTATCCTCACAAATGGAGTTGGATACTGAGGTGCAACTCTTCGTGGGCTGATCTTTCTCTTGATCTGTGAGCTTCTTGTCCTTTACTCGCCCTTCCTCTGTAAGCCTTTTGCCTTGACCTTGTTCTTAACCACCACCTTGTTTATCTGCGATGATCTATTGCCTTTGGCCTGATGATTCCAGAATTCATGACCCTCTTTCAAAACACTCGAGCTAGGGCTGTGTTTTCTGAGCCTAATAGAGTATGGAAGTCCAAGGAACATGTTTGCGAATAACCTTTAAAGTCTGAATTCAGGTTCTGAACAAAAGTTACACTGAACAATTTCAGTTTTTGGTAGAAACTTCTTTGGCAACATTTACAGTCTCATCCATGGAGTGTCATGAAGTCACTGACTGAAGTGCCATCAGCTATTGGCAGTGTACATCACTGGCAGCTTAGAAATGCCCATTTAAAAATTTAAATGAATGTTGTGTGGTGAGAGCTGCTTCTAACCTCCTGAACCATCAAGCTCTCAAGCCTGAGCAACTGCTGGTGGTTCTCATCTAACGGTTGAAGCAGCTGAGCCACTGAGTGGATTCCTGAGGGGGCTTGAGGCTCCAAAACTGCAGCATTTCAAGGACAGAGTAAATGAATTTTAAAGCAGGAGCAATAGGGTAACTGTAGACATTAGACAGTTTAAACCTGTGGTGATGTGCACTGGTTCCCACAGAGGATATGATCAGGACACTTCTGTTTTGCATTCCCCATGGTTCTTTACTACTCCAAGCTCACATTGACCTTGCTGACATACCATGAAAGACAGTGAGAAATCACCAAGACTATAACTGGAGAGGATGGATTTGAGGGAAGAGATAAAAGTCCTGTAGCCCTTTCCTGCCACATGCATATGTGTATGTTTTGTGTTCAGTCCTTTCATAGGGATTGTAGCTGTTTACTTTTTCCTGCTACACACGCTGGTGTTGCATCTGCATCCTGCTCTGTTACAGGAAACAGATGTTGTGACATTTATCCACACCCAGTGACAGAAAGCTCCCAACTCACTCTGTGGACTTACTGTGTGTTGAGTTTTGGAAGGAGAGGAGCTTCCCAGCCTCTGTGTTTCCTCGGTGTTACCCAGTCCATGTGCTTGTGAGCTTTAGACAGTTGTGCTTTTTTTTTTATTTCCAGATTGCTAAGCTAATGCTTAGGTGCAAGGGGACCTGGGAATAACCACCAATGCAGTATAGTTGATCATCTTTTTTTTTTCTGCCTACACAACTCTATATTTTTATGCTTCGCATGATGTTAGCTTATGTGGACTTGGTACACTGGGAGATGCTTTACCCTGCCTCCCATGGGAATGCCTGTGAGCATCTTGCATAAGGCCTACTCCTGGTCACAATTTTTCACCAAACCAGTGAATGTCCCCAGATGCAATGCAGCTTCAAAAGCTTCAAGCAAAGAAGGGGGCTCAGAGGGGACAGAAGGGTCACAAGGGAAGTAAACAAAAATAACCATGTATAACATAATGAAAACATAAACTTGACTCATAGGTAACGTGACACGAATGCAAGAAGATACTATTCTGGTTTTTCTTTCATGTCCACTGAAGCAGCAAAACCAAAAGGAGCCAGTTGTATCCTGAACTATCTGCCCTGCTGGTAAAATCCCCTCAGGCAGAAGTGGGGATATTTGCCCAGTTAGGTCTGTAGCTCTTCCTCATGCCAGATTAGTGTTTATCACGAGGCAGGATTGAACCCTATTTTAGTGGAGGTACTGTCCTCTGACCTTGACTTTCCAGTTTGAGTAAAAGTTGTAAGTTTATGCAAGCACAATGGTCTGGGTGTGGCAAACCTGCTAGATGGCAAGAAATTTTGTTCCTCTTGTTCCTTGCTGCTGACAGGTGAGCACCAGCAGTTTTGGGATATCACTGTGACTAATGATTAAGTGCTGTTTTGTTTTTCCTGTGCAGTGGTGCAAGTAATCCTCTGAGTTGAGGGGGTGTACTCTGATCTCCCTCCCAGTGAAGGTGATGTGAATTCACCTCTGAGCTTGGCAAAGGCTAAATGTGGCAGGAAGGAAACTGTAATAGTACTGTTTAGTAGCTCATAGATTTAATGAAAGTGCAACTCCTACTTCTGATTTCCCTGCACAGTGATCACAGATCAGATATGAGGTTGTATAACAATCATTTTGAGCACGTCCTAAAAGATGGACAGCTCTTAGGCCTCCTGTATAGTGCAACACTAGGCCATTGTTTGGAAGACCTGCCCTGTGGCTTAGGGTGGGAAACCTTATTTCCTTAACTAGACATGGTATTGTTAAGAGTGAGAAGCAAAGTGAAGTTAATTTTATGTTTTATTATCAGCTTTCCATTTCTTCCAGGTTCTCTCACTGACAGAGAGTAGCAGAAGTTGAGCTTCCTGTAGATAATAAACCTAGAAATCTGATTTTTGTGACACTGAACACTGGCTAACAACAGTAAAGCTACGAGAACTCATACTAAAACCAAACCTGGCTAGTGGGACCGGGCATTTTATGACAAATATTTATTGAAATGACACTCTTGATTGTAATTATCTCCAGGACTTCCTTGCCTGCCCTAGGATGAGGATATACAGGGCTGGATGCTCTGAGACATTGTAAGTGACTGCAGAAATAAGTGCATTGGAGCATTCTTTCAAATAATTTCTCTTCCTACAGTAAAATTGCATTGGGTTGTGCTGTTGGGAAAATCAATGGGTAGCCTTGGTTTCATGTGCTGAGTCTTTAAAAAGAGAATTCTGACATCCATTGGCTTTTGAATGGCTTTATATGTGACATGACCAAGTCTAGGTAAGAACATTTAGTTTTACTTTGTTTCAGTACTGAGCCAATGAGAGCATTACTGCAGAACAGTTACCTGAGACTTTGCTTGAAAAATTCTTTCCTTTCAGAGTCAGGAGGAAGGAGCCAGTGCCAAGTATTTAATGGTGAAACCTTTCTTTTGTTTATCTCTTTGCAGTTATGTGGCTGTGGGCTGCTGGGCGTGGGCATCTGGCTGTCAGTGTCACAAGGAAACTTCGCCACATTTTCTCCTAGCTTTCCATCGCTTTCAGCTGCCAACCTAGTCATTGCCATTGGTACAGTCATCATGGTGACCGGCTTTCTGGGCTGCCTAGGTGCTATCAAGGAAAACAAGTGCCTCCTGTTGAGTGTAAGACATCAATACTTCTTTTCACTAAGACCAGTGACTGTTACTTTGTTATTACTTTTTTTAAATGACCTTTGCAAAATAGTCTTGTGGGTCACTGTAACATTGCCTTTGGCTTTCAATCTTCTGTCTGCTTGCAGTATGGCATCCCATATCTTTGGTCACAGTGATAACATTGGTGTATTAGCAAATGTATCCTTGTTGCTGTGTGCCCTAATGTATTAGATAGCAAAGCAAATTACTATCAGTTACCTCTGAATGGTTAAACTTGAACTGTAGGGTCAATCTGGATAGCCCTTCTGGAAATGTCTGTTAGAAGGATTGACTGAAAAATCTTAAGCACAGCTGCTTTTGGGTGCCACTCAAAGCCTCTCATGACTATTTTCTACTTTGCTCTTATCTAGGAACTTTGTCATAAGCTGGTGGAAACCATCTGACCCAAAGTTAAGTCGTCAGTGTCTCTGCCAGGCCTTACCAATAAAACAAAAAATAATCTGATCCTTGGCAGTGTTTGTCTAGCACTGAAGCACGGGGATTGGGAACCCCCCTCAGAAAACACAGTTTGGGTCACTCCTCTTACATAAACCCAGGAGGCTTCATCATGCCTTTCCCCACCTCAAGGAGAGGGGTATTGTGGCAGAAGGCGAGAGGAGGGCTCTCAAAGCAGACCCCTTCCAATTCAGTCACAGCTTACGAATCACAGGTGCTGTGACATTAAGGAGCATATGTGAGTTTTCCTTGTGTAAAAGTCTCCCTTACATGGTGTTGGGGAACAGCCAGGCAGCATTCCTTATACCACCTCAGAGAATTAAACTGGAGGACAAATGTGCACCTGTTTTTTGCTATTCATTGCTTGGTTTTTTATGTTGTACAGCTAGGAAAGCAAGCAGAATAGGAATGAGGTCTACGTCATTCATCCACACAAAATGCAACGCCAGCTGAATTTTTGATTTTTTTTAAGAGTGTTTATATTCTTACAAAGTTCTGCAAAAGCCTTTTTATACTATCATGATTACCATGAATTTCCAGCTAGAGAGCTTGCTGCACTGCATATTCCATCTCCCCCAGTGTCTGTGTGGGGGATGCCCTGCCTGTGTGGCAGTCCACTAGTACATAAAAGCAACTAGTGGGCATGAAAAGTAGTGAGACTACTGGAGCTCACACTTGGGATGCCCCTGCAGAGAGAGATTTCAACTACAGAGAGTTGGGAATAGAAGTGATAACTAATGTAATGACTATTCCATCTGACAGGCAGTCAGATGTGGTTAAAGCCCACCAGCTAGGGAATCACTCCCGAGGCATGTCACATGGATCTTTGTGGTAATGGGTTTAGCATCTGTTCTGTAGTCTGTGTGAAGGAAAGAGACTACCAGGGCTGCGTGCTGTGACCGAAGTCAAAAAAAAAGCAAGATAAAAACATTGATGAAACCTGCAAAGTGGTAGTAGAGCAAAACCTAAAATTTAGAGAATGCTAGACAGTGAGCTCCCTCACTGGTGGTGAGACCTGCAGGAGTTTTAGTGGCAATATAACTCCAATAAGCCTCCAATAGAACTCCAATGTAGCTCCAATAAGCAAAATACCAATAAGCCTGAACTGAATAGTTTGAAACCAAACTTACGTGGTTTGGGAAGTAGAGGAAAGGTTTAAAGGACAAGGCCTAGCAGCCCCAGTTTTGCTTTCTAGTTGGTGTGTATACACTGTCTGTTTTTTCTTTGTTCTAGTTTTTCATCGTTTTGCTGGTAATTCTCCTGGCAGAGCTGATATTACTGATTTTGTTCTTTGTTTATATGGACAAGGTAAGCAAATATGCCATATAGATTAATTATCTGTACTAGCATGTAAATCGGGTTCAATTTGCTTTTGTTTGATGGAGGTATGTGGGTTCTCCTTGCTCTTCTCTTTGGTGAACCTTGAGATCTTGGCTGTTTTCTGTAAGCTGCTTCTGCAGGGGGAGGAGGAAGTGATGAGGAGGGCAAACAGGAGAGAAGAACCTGCTGAGCTTTACAATTTCCTCTCTGAAATAAAACCATGGTCCAGGAGCTCCCTTTTAGTCTTCTCCTAAAAGCTAAGACAGCCTTCAACATAGCTGTTTGATTTCCCTGCAAGAAGCTGATCATCTTGTGAACCTGAGTTGTGGGAGGTCCTACTTAAGACCTGGTTAGCTTCTTAGGGCCAGCCCTTGAACAGGACTGGAGGAGAGAGGCCTGGGATATTCACAGGTTATTCCAGATGCCACCAGCTGTCTCACTTGACTGGGCAGTCCCAGCGAGTTTGACAAGGGTGCAGAGTGGATCAAGAGGCAGCTTCTCATAAAGCCCATCTATAGGAATCTCCTATCTAGTAGAGACTAAGTGAAGTAGGCACAACTAGCTGGCCTGTCAGATTAGGTAAGACTGTAAAAATCCTTGGGGAAGTGGAGAACTCTGCTAAACACAGGACAGAGCCTTACAGTATGAGCATGTGCAGACTGATTCTAAAACGGAGCTCCTATCAGATTTGTATCTCTCCCCAGGTTGTCATTATGATGCCTGCCACTTTCGGGGAGCTGGGGTGAACTTCTGATTTTGAATGGGATGTCAAAGAGGGATGAAACAGATCTTATAATACAGATGACCTTTATGCCAGGACCCATAGGTTAATCCTTTCTCTACTGCCAGCTCACTGCTGTCAGAGCCAAAGTACATTCCTACCTGCATCCAGGACCAGACTGAAATTTATACAAGAAATGGGACTTCTCACATCTCCTGTTAAGCATTCCATCTTTCTCCTCTAAAGAAAGAAGATCACATTTGAAAATTATAAATCCTACAAGCCTGTCCCCACAAGGAGATCGATAATAATGTCCTTTTCCAACTGATCTTGTATTGGCCATTCATTATAGCCTGCCCAAACCTGTGCAAGGGATAACTATGTTAAGATTGGGAGGCTTGGACTCTGGCTTTATGGTATTAGCAAATTTAAGTAGGCTCCAGGTTACAGGTAGGGGAGGCTGCTGTGGGGTACTGCCAACAGCTATCTTTAGCAAAGTTAAAGTAAGTTCAGCAGATTTCTGCTGATCGCTCTTCAGTTAGTTTGGATCAGATGATGAATGTGTGATGGAATCTTAATAGAGGGAGAGCTGTTTGCTTTCCTGTCTCATGTGAATTAATCCAGTGTTTTGCAATCTGAGGGAGAGACTAGGCCTTGGCAGGTGCCAAAAGAGAGTCTTGAAGCTATGATGGAGCTTTCCTACCATGTCAATTCTGTGGTGAGAGAAGACAAGAGAAGTGCATTCTGTATGCAAAATCTGTACCATCTGATCCTTTCCTCTAAACAGCAGAGCATTGATTTTCTGTATTTTTTACATGATGCAGGTCAGTGAGAGTGCAAAGAAGGATTTGAAGGAAGGTATGAAGCTATACAACTCAGAAAATAACATTGGACTGAAAAATGCATGGAATATCATTCAAGCAGAGGTAACATATTTTCCCAATAGAAGAAAAATAACAATTTGGCCATAAAAGCTGCTGTGGTCTGTTAACTGTGGCAGCCATGCCAAGTCTAAAAGATGGCTAATGCAGGCTTTTCTTTCTGATTTTACACTCTTGAACATCCAAGGAGTACTGTGAAACCCAGGATCAAAGTGTACTGTGCATAAGGTGAAATATGCTCGCCTGCGTCTGAGATTCTCTGTACTTATCACAGGCCCAGAGATGATCTGAAACAGAGGAGAAGCAGCAAAACCTGCATAGGTTGAACTGCAGCTTTGGCAGCTAGGCTTTTGCCATTCAGTGGTTGTGGGCAGACTACCTTATGTTTTGGTGTTTGGGCTCATGTCTCTGTGACAAAAAGGCTACCATACCTTGGATATGGGACTGGTTTTTTTTTGGTTTTTTTTTTTTAATATTGTTAAGTATTTGCTTTCAGTCATCACTGAGCACAAAGCACTTTTAAAAATACAAAAGTGTTGTGGCAGCCCTTTTGAAAATACACAGTGGTTTAGTAGAAGTAAAAGTTTGTGGGTGGTGCATAGTTCACAAAATGTGCTAGTTAAGTTAATTTACTTTTGCCATAGATGAAATGCTGTGGCGTGAATGACTTTACGGATTGGTACCCAGTGCTGGGAGAAAACACTGTCCCAGACCGATGTTGTACGGAAAACTCCCAAGACTGTGGACGGAACTCCACTGAGTTAGTGTGGAAAACGGTGAGTCTCACTTTGCCCAGGCCAAGGCTTAGGGAGGGGTGGGAAGGAAGAAAATAGAGGGAATGTACGTGAAAGAAAATGTGACCTTGAGATTTCAGTTTTCATCTTTCATCATTTCAGGGATGTTATGAGAGAGTTATGACCTGGTTTGATGAGAATAAGCATGTCCTTGGTTCGATTGGGATATGCATCCTCATAATGCAGGTAATACTGGTACAATGTTTATGAACATGGCTTTGATTTGCTGTCAGCATTCTTGATTCTGCTGTGTGAAAAGTGGTGCTAAACTGCTTTGAGTTTGATCATGATTTCAAAAATGTCAGATTTGTTTTAAGAGTTCATTTAAGGCCATCTAGTCAGAAAGGAAGCAGGTCAGTAGTCAGTGCCACAAAGAAGACACGCTACTGTGGGGTTTTGCTTACGTCTGTTTTGACTTCAGAGCACCTTTGGAGTTCCCATGTTTAGCCATTTGTTACACTGTCCCTTAATGAACTGGTTTTTTAATTTCAAAACTAAGTTTTAGAAATTGCTAAACTGAGTCAAATCATGGCCACTGAACCGAGTAAGTTAAACATGTTTTAAAAAAGAAATGCAGAAATTCATCATAATCTGTTAACGTTTTGAGGTTCCTGTATCACTGCTGTACTTTTGGGGGAGAATACCTGAATCTGATGTTTTCAGTCACAGTTATGTGTCTAAACAAGCACAAGCTGTTGCATAAAAAGGAAGAGTGACTCATATGTATTGATGCTGAAAAATTGTTGCACGTATGACAAAGACCCCTGAGAGCTTTTTGCTTCCATCTGTGCTCTGACTGATACATCTCCAGACATCATCACTGTGTGTCTGAACAACATACATCCAAGTTTACTGATCAGTATTGAAGCTTGAGAAATATGGCTAGTGTAGAACGACTTTTAAAACTAGAGCTGGACCATAAACAAAGGTCAGCAATCCAGTCTGGGCAGAACATCCTGTACTGAAGCCCTTTTTGTTTGTTTTTCTTCAGATTCTTGGCATGGCCTTCTCCATGACACTCTTCCAGCAGATTCACAGGACTGGCAAAAAATATGATGCCTAAAACCTCTGAAACATTATCATATCAACCCTTCTGTCTCATCATAAAAATGAACAAAAGGAATGACCGCAAAGAGTATCAAGCCTAGCCCTGCTGAGGGAATCCGTCCCATTGACAGATCTACTTTGTTGTTACTTGTCCAGTTATTACCACAACCTGACTCTTTTTTTTTGTCTGTTTCACATTTGCCATTTATTTGCCAAAGAGGGGGGAAACCCCCCAAACAATGGATTTTCTAAACAAATTCATAGATCTGCTCTAAGAATGTTTCTTAAGAAACTGTTTTGCTCTACTAATCCATGCTATATGTGCAAAAATTATGTGTGTTCACCTTCAAGGGAGAATTCTTCAAGGTCTTCCATTAGGTTTTCAACCCTCATGTCCAATTTACTGGAAGACATGGAAAAGCCACTCTGAGAGTCCTAGGAATTGGAGCTGCTTTGCTCTGCAGCTTCTTTTACCTTATGGTGTATACTTTTTTATTATGATAATGATGATGATGATGATGATTATTATGATGGATATAACTTAGAATTTAGTTGCCTGACTTTATAACTTCTTACTGGTTTTGGTTTTACACATTTATTGTACATTAATTAGGGAACCACTGTGCGATCTCCAGAGGACGTGTTTTTCAAAGTTGACAGTTGGTGGGGACAAATGAAGACAAAACTTTTCTCAAGTCCATGGGGAGGCATTGTCTACCTTTATCAGGGCCTTGGTGCCCTTACTGTAACAAAGGTGGCTCCTTTCAAATCAGAGGCTCTTTCCTCAGATGGAATGCAGTGCCTTCCCATCAGACCAGATGGTGAGCTTCCTGCTCCTGTGAGGCAAAGTTCCAATGCCTTTACTCACCCAAATCTGCCTGCTTTGATGTCATGCTACTTTGAAAGCTAAAAATACTGACTAAGCAAGTTACTGCTCCCTGGCACAAAGGAGAGAGATTGCAGTCTGACCTACTGGCCACTTGGCAGCAGACTTCACAGACTGTGTTGCCTATTTCAAAAAAATTGCCCACGGCATGGCATGCTGCTGGATGTGAGGGAAGGGGGTGGCAATTTGATGGCAACATTGTCACGCCATGCCCTTCATTGAGGGGTTTGCTAGGCAGAGGGCAGCTGTCTCCCTGAACTGGAAAAGGTGGTTTGGTTAAAGGTGAACAGATGATGCAGGAAAGGGGCAATTTCCAAAACAGCACTCAGAAACTATATGTGTTGTCACACCTTCAGTACAGAATTGGTTCTTGCTGACAGATCGCCAGGTCCATCCAGTGGGGTAGTTTGGAGTTCACTGCAATGCATATTTTTACCAACATTCCTGTTAGAATACTTGAACATATATTTCTCTAGGTTGAATGGTGCTTCATTGCAAGCAGCCCCCATTTACCCTTTGTTCCAAGTTTCTGCTGTTTTGTGAAGGAAGAAGAAAAGGCTCAGACATCGGAGGATGTTCTGATTTAACTCCAGTCAGGGCTTGACTTAGCTCTGAAAGAAACACTGGGTTTTGTATTAGCAGCAGTTAGAAGTGACCTTCAGAGATTACTTCCTCCAGTGTGACTCTGGATACTGTCATCTATGTGAGATGGGGTTTACTATGACGTTATTGGGTGGAGTTTCAGAAACTGTTGAGGATGGAGATTTTGTGCCTTTCAGAGCCATGCCATGTCAACCTACTCCTCTGGTAAACAAGTTTCTCTTAATGTCCAGTCTGAATATTTATACTTTAAACTCTTAAAAGATACAATTTTCATTGTATCATTCAGCCTGTCTTTTCCTTGTGGGCTGAAATAGCTGTTGAGCCACTTAATATCTGGGAGTTTTTAGTCCCCTCTTTATCTTCCTAATAGGTCCTGCATGCATCTATACATCTGGCAGCAGTAGTGTTTTGTGTGGCCTATGTGTCAGTTTTTGAGTTCCTATGAAATCAGTGTGACAGGAAGGAGTGTGAATGTGTGGGAGATAGATAGAGATGAATTTGGGTGTTGCAGTGAAGAAGGAGGTTACTATTCTTAGAGCATGGCCCTTGCCCATATGAGCACAATGCCCGAAGTTTCACAGGGCTCTTGTTTCCCACTGAAGCAGACAATGCCATATGGGTTCAGCTATTTCACTTAGATTGCCTTTGAAAGAGTCAGGGAAGAAGCAGAGGGAAAGCACAGAAACTGAATCCAGTTTTACTTCCATTTCTAATGAAAATTGGGACCAGGAGCATCTGAGCCCCACTGGAGATGGATGTTCCATGTTGAAGAACGGGCTCTGATGCCCAGTGTACTTGCTGCTACATGTAAGACTGTATCCAAAGTTGCTAAGATGCGTTCCCATTTTTTGCAAGAAAAGACAGGACGATTTTCCTCTGATGGCTCCACTGCATTCTCCCTTTGGGCATTGGTGCTTAGCTTTCTCTAGCTTTCTCTGGTGTTCAAAAAGGGCAGGGTGCAGGGCTGAGCAGGACCATCATCTCTGTCCTTTAGGGTCGCACAGTGGTACCTGTCACATCTTAAATTTTAATCTGCAGTCAGTTTTTGTACAAAAAATGGTAAAATATATTAGTGAAAGTAATAAGGAAATAAAAAATGTTTATGAGTAACTCAGAGATGAAATGTGTAGTTGCAAACTCAGCTACTTTGCCTTCCATCCAAACTTATTTTTCTAGAATGCTTCATTCCATTTCATGATCTAGCAGCATAGATCCTGAAATCTTTTTTTAATGACTACTTTTGGCATTTTAAGCACAGTATTAAGAGAGATAGTTACACAAGCTTCATATATTCATCTCTATGAAGCCACCTACAAGAAGGGAGTCAAAAGCAGGACTGATTTGTGTCTCTAGCTGACTCTCTGATGTGGGAGGTGATGACAGACATCCTGAAAGGAGCAGAAAAGTAATACCGTTTTCCAGGAAACAAAAAACAGCCCTGGAAGGTGTGAGGCTGCATCAGTCAGTTTGTCAGAGAAGGCACTAACTGTCCTGTAAACTGGTCAAAGAGAGCTTTGGCTCATGTATGTATGCACTTTTTTTGCTTATGCTGGTGGGTGGCTGGCTGTGTGTTTTCCCCAAATGTCATTCTGATTATTTAACTATAAGTTTTTAGCATGTTTTTAAATAAAAATTGATACTGAGTAAAAGTATCTTTAATATACACAAATATTGATTTGTATAAATGCATACCTCTCTGTATCTCTTAATTCATGAAAGCCCAGTTCCAATGTGTGAAACCGCTGTTTCTTTGAGTGTTCCTTCAGACTGTAGCACACCTGCTGTCTCACTGTGCTCATGCTTGGAAGCTGCAGCAGGACTTAAACAGAGACATAATAGGAGAACTGCTGGAAGAACCTCTCCTTGAAAGCTGCTGAAGTGATAGCAGTGAATTCTGTTCCCTCCTGGTGGTACCAAGGCTGTTAATTATAGGAAGCCCAGGTGGAGAGTGCTCAGAAGTGTCCACAGCTAAGCAGCATGTGAGATGATAAAAACAATGGCATAAATGTCTCCAAGATGACAGAAGATGTCTTGTTTATGTCAAGCATTGAGTTCCTGGACTGAGGTCATGTTAGGCCAACTCTCCTATCCTGTGTCCAGCCCCATTTGTATGCATTAAATACAAACTCACACACAGGAAGAGTGCAAGCAGAGGGCAGCCAAACTGACCCTCCAAGTGTTTTTTCTTGGGCAATGTATTGGTCAGGCATAGAAAAGGCAAGGAGGAAAAGGGTGTTTTCCCAGCAGATAGTTCTTGGGAGCAGCATAGAATAGGGTACACTTAATTCTGATGTAACTTCTTTCCATAGAGTTGAACAGCTTCATCCTGTAGCTGGCATGGGGAAACCTGGAGATGTTTGCCTATGGGCTAGTCATCTGTTGTGCAGTAGATAGTAGACACTAAGAAACAACATGCCATTCCCACCAGGTGATGTTTGCACCAGTGTTTCTTCTATGCAATATCTCTTTCGCCTTTATATAAAAGATTTTTACTAGGATGATATAAAAATAAAGGATTTTTTAAAAGGTGCCTCTTTGAACTCATTTCTCTCCTAACCCCAACTACCACCAAAACCAAAAGGGGACGAAAAAAAAAAAAATCCGAAAGGTAACTCACAGAGATCTCCACTGCAGTTGAAGCCCAGAGATCTTGAAGCTGTTGCATCTCTGAAAAGATCCCCCACCCCTGTCCTCTCTCATCCTTCTTCAAAACAATACTCTAATAAAAACAGAAATAGGTGTGAAAGATCCCCAAAGAACAGCAAAATGTTTTTGAGAGCCTGGTAATATAGGAAAGAGTTTGCAAGTGTCCCAGAGGATATAGAATAGTCAAAGAGAGGACAAAGTAGTAGAGAGCTTGAAAGAAATCTAGCGGACAGTGAGAAGTCTCAGAGAAACCATGAAAACTGATTAAACACTGACATAGAGAAAGATCACAGAATAGCCCTTCAAAATCCCAGGGAAGTAGAAGATGGTCTGAAAGATCCCCAGACAAAACAGTGGAGCCAAGCAGAAGACAACAAAGCAACAGAGTCTGAAAGTGATTCATAGAACATAAAGTAGCCTCAAGGAAGGCAAGAAAGCCTGTAAGTTCCCAAAGAAACAAAATGTAGCAGTGTCAAGGAGGCAAAGAAAGAAAAAGGCAAGTCAAAGGACAACACACCCCCTACCCCCCGCCCCGAGAATGCTGAAGAGGCTCAGTGGTAACAAGAAGTATCAGAAATATTAAAGGAGCTCCAGAGTATCCAGCAGTACCAAGGATGGCCTCAGAGAAGATGAAAAAACAAAAAAAAAAAAGGCAGAAGGTTTGACAGTGCCCCAAAGAGTAGCATCAAAGGGCAAATGAGGCAAAAATCTGTAAAAGACTCAGAGAACACAGAGTAGCATCAAAGCAACAGAGAAACAAGTTGAAAGCCTGAAAGAACCATGTTGAACACACCAGAGACCTTGACAATGACAAGAAAGTAGAAGAGCGTCTGAAAGAGCACTAGGAGAGTATGCCTGCAGGCTAAGAAAGGAGAGGACTGCTAAGTAAGAAAAGAGAACAGAGAATAGCTTTGGAGAAGGGAAGAAATAAGCAGGGAGGCAGACAAAGTGATAATGGTTTGTTTCTGGGAAGAAGCCTCTGTGAAATGGACAACACTCTTTAAG